TGAGCACTGGCGTAGCGTGGCGAGGACGACGACGAGGGAAGGCACGGCTGAACGGCAGACGAGGGTTAGGGATAGGCTTGAAGTGCTCTCGGTTTTGCGTTGGGAGCCAAAAATCTGATTTTAATTAAGCCCCTGCGATGGAATTAATAATAAAACCGTCGCAAATTTTCTGTGCAATTTTGACCATCTTGGACGTCCTCAAATTTGCGACAAAATCGTATTTTCCGTTGCAGATCTGCGACGGAATATAGAAGTCCGTCGCAGAAAATTTTCTTTTTCATGAATAATTCGTCTGTCGCAGATTCGTTGCAGATCTGCTACGAAAACGGGTCCGTAGCAGATTTCCGTTGCAGATCAGAAAACTTCTTGTAGTGCGTCAATATTTAACAGGTTTAGTGTTGTCATGATTGTTGATATAGGACATAGTTGGGTACAATATTTTAAAGTTTGATAAGTAGTCTTGTATGGCATGGTTTTTGTAGACATTCCTAACCAACACCATCTCACACCTCGTGCATAAAAAGGAAGAAAAATAAATGGGGAGAGGTAGCTCATACCTTGTATTAAAAAAGTAGGCTCCTCAATGCAGGTAATATTTTCTAATTTTATAGTGATATTTTAGTTGGCTCGAATTATATAACTTTAAACAACAGGCGAACCCTAAGATCAAGTAAGTAAAATGCTTTAAAGCTCACGTATGTCATTTAAAATCCTACTCCGTAGTTTTTAAATTCCAAAATAGACTATGTTCCATCTGTACCCCTAGTCCAAATGAACAAAACTCCATTGTGGTTACATAACCATTTTTTTTTTTACTTAGTGTAACTTACCATATTTTCTTTTTCTGCTTAGAAATAAATTCACAGTGGTTTAACCTAACCAAGAAAAATCATACTAATATAGGTTAAGGTACCTTTTTGATCATAAAGCACTTTACCCAAATCCTTTATGATCAAAAAGGTTTGTTGGCAATATCCTGAGGGAGAATCTGTTAAACTTAACCTTGCTGGAGGACAATTACCTCATCAAACTGTTGCAGCTGCTGTCCTAAGGAATAGCAAAGGGGAATTCCTTTTTGGTTATGCTTCTTCCAGCCCTAAACCAAAGTACATGGTCTATTTGGAAGTTGGAGTCCAAGTTCTAAGTTGGGGACTGGCGCATGGCTTCAGAAGCATTATCATTGAGACTGATGAAGGGGAGGTTCCCTTCCTTCAACTTGGGATTAACCCGGAGCAAGATGACTATTTAAGAAAGTTTCACTTTCTTCTCTCTTGTGTTAAGAGCTCCTTTGAGGTGTGTGAGAAGCAAGTAAACAGACTGCCTCATTTCTTGGTGACATGGAGCTGTAACCAGTCACACTCCTTCCAGTTTTTCTCTGTCTTTGACCTGCCCCTTGAAGCACAAAAGTTACATCAATTTGATCTTAGACAATTTCCCAGTTATGCCTCGACCAGTGCTAAACCTGGTAAGGATGATCCCCTCCGTTAGCCCCTTCTGTTGTTTGGTCTGGCCTACTTGGTGGGCTATTCTTTACTCCATTGTTTCCATAACGCTTGCTGTTGACTACATTTGGGATTATCAGGAGGATGTTTTTATTCCTTGTTATGTTCTCTCTCTTTTATGGTGGTATGCTCTTGTGAATTATGGTTATGTTTGTGGTTCTATTTGGTGGCTTTGTATGGAGCGTTATTCTGTGAAGAATCTTTACAGCTATATAAAAACCATTACGTTTGCCATGACTATGAAGAATTTTATTTATTTTCTTCTAGTCTTGGTGGGTATGGTTTTGTGTAGTTGGGTAGGACCAGCCGTTGGCTTGGCTGTTTTGCTCCGGTGTGAGTGTGGTCCTACCCTTTTGAAGTACCAGATTGTGAGGCTGTGCTCTTTGGCCATTGTGCTTCGTTTGGACTTGTTGTGTTGTTTTGTTGTTAGGACCGTTTATGGCATTGGTCATGCCGTAGTATAGTGGTTTTGTTGCTAGTTAGGACCTTCTTGTGGTCTTGGTCAAGCCTTTTTCTAGGTTCCCTTACCCCTTACTTTTGAGGATTGTTCCCCCCGGAAGGTTTGTCTTCCGTATGAGGGGCTGGCTTTAGGCCTCGGTTTAGTCCTCCCCTCCTTTTGTATCCTCATGCTTTCTTAATAATAGCTGGTAAGGGTTGCCTAGACCTTACCCCACCGAGTTTGGTGGTTTGCCCGCTGGGAAAAAAAATATAGGTTAAGGTAGCAGTCCCAAATGATAGAATATATATTGGAGGGGAATACAACCCCAATTAGGACTAAGAAACAAGAAGAATAACTGACTGAACAGAGAGAATGTCATAACTAATACTACAATAATTAGAATTAATGTTATTGTCTAACAATCTTGAATGCAAAAAAGTTTAATTGCTTAGAATTCTCCATGAGATAATCAAAATAAGTAGGGGTGTTCATTGGTCTAAGACCAGACCAAACCGGACCGACTCGGACCATACCAAAGACCGAATTGACTAAAATTATTCGAGTTTGGACCGGACCGGACCGAAATAAATAGGACCGAACCAGTTCAAACCGATTGGACCGAATGAAAATGTAATTTTTTTAAATTATTTTGATCAATTAAATAAAAACATGAAACAAATTATGAAAAACAAGCACGAGGGTATTTACGTAATTTTATTGTTTATCCTACCTCACATTGTTGGTGTAAACTATCAAAATGTTTGTGTATAACTGCAGTGTACAAATGGGGTACAATTTTTGGTTTAAGTTTAGCATGACCCAAGTGTGAAAGACGAGTAAGTATATGGTACAACCGACTGTACCTAGAGATAGGTACATCCGAGTAGTACTCATTCTGAAGTTAAGTGGTACTCATTCTCGCACAAACATAATAGTTCATTTGGAATAGCGTGGTACGCATTTTGAAATAACGCAATACACATTCTAAAATAACATAGTACTCATTTTCACACACTTATACAATATTTATTTACGAATAACATAATACTCATTCTAAAATCTAGTACTCATTCCCAAACAGCCTAGTACTCATTCTTAAATAACATATCATTCATCAAAATCTAAAATTTTGTTGAAGATCATATTAGAATTAGAACAGATTTGGAATTAGAGCTTCGCCGGCCAGATCTGGAATCGCGGATCAAAAGAGTCTTTTTCATCACCGATCGATTTCGCCCGAACCTGCCGTCTTCATCGTCGATCGATTTTGCCTGAAACTGCCGCAGATTGATTTTGCCTGCCGCAATAGATTCCTGTTCCAGATTGATTTTACTTTCTCCCGTACAGCCGGTTATATAATATAAATTGCGGTGAAAGTCTGATCTACCTAGAGAGTTAGACCCTGTTTTTTTGTTCTCTTTAATTTATTATTGGATTGTTTAAAAATTTATTTTATTATGCTAATATTAAACATAAATTTAGAATAATTAAAATTTAAAATTTGTCCAATATTACTTTAAAATGTGAAATTAGACAAAAACACTGAGAGAGAAATCGTACTTAATGGTGTCATGGTGTGTAACTCTAATATTTATTCAAATTGTTATCTATCGTAAAGATTCATTTGTTAATTTCCTAAATAAAGTTTTATTTGAATTCAATTTAATTACTCCGTATATCATAAAATTTACTGGTATTTCATTTTTACAAAAATTAGTAGTTTCCTTAAAAAAACATTCCCCAATCCTAAATGATGTGATGTTTAAATTGATTAAGAATTCCTAAATTTCCATCGGGGGATAGTCTGCTTCTTACCCAGTTGAATCCGAGCGTGGCTAGGGTTTTGAAGAGAATGGAGTTGAAGAGGCGACGGAATGATGAAGTCCCGTCCGGTACGAACGGTGAATCGAAGTCAAGTTCGAAGGGTCGCCGCCGGTCATCGACGACGCCTAAGATTGCCCTCTCAGGTTAATACTTTAAACCATCAACTGTGGAGCAGTGTTCAATGAGTTCAATCTGATCATTACATTTGATTTGGTTCAATTTTGTTTGGTTTGTAGATCGGACGGTGAAGCTGTTAGAAGAGAAGGTTTCCTTTCCAAATGTATCCAAGCTTCGACGCCGAAACATAAGAGCTTTGATCTTGTCCCCCAGCTTAAGTAAGGAAAATAAGATCGGCTCATATTTTGACAGCCAAAGTCCCATCTACTCCGAGTCCTTTGTAGATGTGCTCAAAGTGGAGGTAGGAAAACAACTGAATGTTTTTGATTTGCTAGGGGGTAACCTCTTGAGGTTCAGCACCAAATTCACAAGTTATGTGGGTTCGTGTGATCCGAATAAAGGTGAGCATGGGGTTTTTGAACCAGGTAATGGTCGGACTCAAACCCCGGTATTGAGACGTTGTGGTAATGTTGTTAGGGGTGGTGTTGTTAGCGCCTCTGCCACCAGCACAACAACAGGGGGCAACAAAGAGAATGTCAGCGTGGAAAGCACCCTAAGCCTTAAGGGTAAATACGTTATGATTTGTTGCGTGTTTGTGCCTTCGTTATGGTGTTCAGAAGACGGGCCGGGGGTGTATTACACCTCTTTAGCTTCTCATGAGTTGGCTAGAAGAGATGATTTTGTGATGGTGGTGGTGCCAATGATGAGGGAGGGTTTCACTCATTCCCACTCTGCCTACCAACACTTCTTGTCGGGTTTTTCCTGCCTCGCTGTCCCTTTCGAGGACTCTCATCGGCGTGAGTTCATTTGCTCATCACTCGGGTTCGATGGTAAGCTTAAGGCTTTACTTCTAGATCCATCTCACAGGGTGCTTCACCTTGGCCCGCCTCGCATGTTTGAGTTTTACGGAGGGTCCGGGCATGATTGCCTTCCCTTTACTCCAAGGGGACAGAAGATTGTTCTAACCTTGGAGGATGATCCGGAGAATCGCTCCCTGGATGAGGTTTTGGGCCTTAGCGACACTGATGTTCTCTACAATATTGAATATCTCGCTGGCGGGGGCAGGTTGAAGGAGGAGAAGGATGGGTGTATTGCCATTTCAAAACTCAAACAGAGGGTCGTGGGGCTTTACATGTGCTCTGATGGTAGAAGCTTAGAGATGATTCAGGAGGTCTACGAGGATTGTAGACGGAAAGAGTATGAGCTTGAAATTGTGGTGGTGTGCTATCCCTTCCCTGAGCAGGTTCCCCCAGCGTTGCACGAGGAGGCCATCATTGAAGCTCTTGCAAGTCATGACCTGCTACGCTGGTGGTTTTTTCCCTTCAACAACACCGTGTGCCATAGACTAGAGACAATGTGTGAAATTTACGGTCTTGACGAATGTTTTCTCATAGCTGATCCCAGTGTTGAAAGGTGTGTCGATCCCTACGGAATTGAAATCATCCGTGACTTTGGCATCGATTGTTATCCCTTCACCAGGAGGAGCTTGGTCGAGACGGAATTTCACAGGAAAACGGAACTGAGATTGAACTCACTACTACTTCCTTGGGAAGTGGTTCATGCCTCGATTGATCTCGAATCCACAATTTCGATTCCTGTGGTAAAGCTTAAGAACAAGATTGTTCTTCTTTATCTATACAAAGAGGGAATGAAATATCTAGCTAATAAATTGGCTGCATGGTATAAAAACAATATCAAGGGAAAGTATTCAAATGTTGAGGTGGTTGCTGTGAGCATAGATGGCAGCGACACCAGTGATGAAGAATTCATGGGTATGGGGTGGTTGGCATGCCATGGACTCCCACCCTTTGCAGCCAAACTCTGAAGAATACTGGCATCCGCGCTTAAATCCACGCGAGGCTCTTGTTGCTTTTGACGAAGATGGCCGGATTACATGTATGGATCCAGATCACATTTTGGTATGTGAAGGTCCTCCTTTCCTGGGCGATCTACGCGAAGAGATTTGTCGGGATTTTGAAGACGCTGGGTATTTATACATGCCGCACTGATGATCAAGGCTGTATTTATCTAGTTTAGTTAGATATCCTATGGAGTTATTTAGACAGTTTAATTTAATTATTGTGATTTTTTTTGAGAGAGAATTGTGATGTATCTTTAATTATAAAAAAGTTGAGTGGAATTATAACACTCCTTCAAGGGTTTTATTTTTGGTTCTTTCCCTTGATGACTTTATTGAACGGACTATGATTTATTTAAGGATTTTGCGTTTAAAATTTTACAATGGTGTTCCAAGGAGTAGTTAGGTGACAATAGTATTTCTCTCCTCGGGTTTTTCGGCCAGCGGGTGTTCTGCGAGTTATTGATTCTTTTAGTCCACCATTCTTGCAGTGCATTTCGGATTTGTCCTAATTTTCTGGCCAAATTATTTTGTGATCCACTAATTTTTTTGACAGTGCATTTCGGATTTGTCTTGATTTTATGACAAAATCATATATATTTGAAAATTAGTTGTATCTAATATTCTAGATAGTCCTTGAAATATCTCTCTAAAATTACTTGCTGAGTATGAGAGCCTATGTTCTCATAGTGAGAACATATTGAGAGTGTATGTTCACCAACTTGTGTCAATAGTGAGAGCCGGTAGAGAGCAAGGACGGGTCATGAATAGATTTAGCTGTGATTGATGCATTGGAGCCTTAGGGAGCTTTGATGAGTCATTCGATGAGAAGGATGTTGCAACCAAGACAGTCGAGGAAGATTACTAGATGTACAAACACTCTATAAGAATGATAGTTTGAAGATTATCAAACTCCCAAGTCAGAGATTGTTAGGTTTTGTGGATGCTCGATTTGGGTCGAATCGATTCTTTATTAGAAGACTAAATTGTAGTAGTAGATTAAAGGAGCAGGGGGACTAGTTTTAGTTGATTGACGCCCATTTATGTTTTCTTGGTGGAAAAGTTAGGAAGCCTAATCTATAACCCATAAATATACGGCTTGTAATTGCAATCTTGGCGAACCACAATAAAGTTCCTCTTGTTGTAGTCGTAGATTAAGAAAATCGAACCACGTAAATTCTTGTGTATCGTTTTGATTCTATTTTTCTCTGTTCTCACCGTTTATTTGTGTGTGTGTGTGTGTGTTGTTAGATTAGTTTCAAATAATTAGCCTCTTAGGACCGGCCAAACTATGGGTACAAGCGAGATCTATTCATTCGATCAAAAGAGTGTATTGAAGAATTGTCGGTATAAGAGCATTGGCAGTGGCGTGGCCGTGCCACTGCCACGCCTGCCACCTAAGCAAAGGAAGAGAATTGCCTCGCGTGGATGAAGAGAATTGCCATGCTTGGCAAGTCATGGGTGAGGCAACTATTTCTTGAATTCTTTCTTTTTTCTTCCATAAAATAAAAGATTTTTAAAAAGTAGAAGTAATTTTTTTTGGAAAACACCTAAGTAAATTTATTTTTAATACTCTGTAGTAAAAATAAGAAATATGTAAAATATGTAAAATTTGAAAAAAACCTAAATCTTTTATTTTTTTTAGTTTATTTTTTTTAAATAAGAAATATTTTTAAGAAGAGTATAGTTTATAAAAATATAAACAAAAGAAATTTAAATAATTTAAATAATTTTGGAATATTTTTATTTTTTTATATGAAAAAATATAAATAAAATAAATTTAAATAATTAAAATGTGTAAAAAAGTAAAATTGATAAAAACAATGACTTGCCACTACATGACATGCCACTCCACTCTCATGCCACACGTTGACTGGATTGTTTTTTATTGATTGAAACTTTCCATGTCTCCGTATGTCATTTTATTTCTTACTTGCCATTGTAAATGCTCTAAGGAATTTCCCACGCAACTATAATAGTGTACTTGAGGTGATGCCCTCAACCAATTATTACACTCTCATTAAACTTGTGAGCTATATATAGATGATGACCAATACAACGTATAATCATTGAAACGTTATCAAGAATGTATTTTTATATTTGTGATGGAATCGTTTACCTGGGTATAGTTGACCCTTAAGTTAATTCTAGAGATTGATGATAATATTATTTCTAATTAAAATGGAAAAGATATGAGCTTGATTTTGTTGGTTTACGCGGGCATTTGTTGGTTTGCTAATGCTAAAGAAAATCTATCAATCCTAATAAACAAAAATTCTAAATTAGTAATGTATATTCCACAAACGTTAATGCTTTATAAATTTCGTTGATTTAAAATCATATGAGTGAAAAGTACTATGATCGATCTTATTTATGGAGTTTGTACTATTATCAATCTTATTCATGAACCAACTATAGAATAAGAGTTACTCATAATCATGAATGAGATTATGCAGGGGTTTCCTTATTCACAATAATATGATATCATATGCCACAAGACGTCTGTACCAAGGTATAATGTGAACCTGAAAACAGAGAGTAGTATACATTGGTACTGTGTATGTTTTACTATATTGACTATATATATCTATGCAAATGAAACAAAGGAAACATGGGAGATAAAGAACAAAACAAAGTGTGAACAAGGGGCACCACCAGGCAAAATAGAGTGCTTGCAAACCCATCATATGATCAATAGGACATGTATCCAAACCCAGCGTTATCAAATTCCAGAACAATCTCTTGACGCAGATTATTGGCAAGGAAAGGACGTTGAGATTCCAAAATGTGAGAAGGGTCCATGGATGTAATTTGGCCATCTTCATCAAAAGCAACAAGAGTCTCGCGTGGCCCACAAAGAGGATGGAAGATTTCGCCACAAAGTTTAGCCGACTTGGCTGGGTCTGCAGGGCACACCAACCACCCCAAAGCCATGAAGTCTTCATCACTAGTGCCCCTAATACCATCAATGCTTACAGCAACCACCTCAACAACACTTGAATCCCTTTCCTTGATAATCTCTTTATACCATGCAGCCAATCTATCAGCTAAAAACTTCTCTGGCTCTTTGTACAGATAAAGAACAACAATCTTGCCAATCATGGTGCAGGTATCAAGCGAGCTAGAAGGATATCCCCAAGGATGTAGTAATGAGTTCAATCTCAGTCCCATTTTCCTTTGTAATTCCATGTCGATTGTTTTCTTCCTGGTGAAGGGATAACTGTCAATGCCAAAGTCAAGGATGATTGGTAATCCATACGGGTCAACAAACTTTTCATTGGGATCCACTATGAAAAAACCTTCCCGATGACTGCCAACTTCGCACATTCGCAGTAGCCTATGGCATACGGTGTTGTCGAAGGGCAAAACCCACCAGCCTAGGACGCTAACACTTGCAAGAGCTTCAATGATCAACTCCTTATGCAACTCTGGGGGCACCTGCCAATAGAAGGGACAACACACTAGCACAATTTCAAGCTCATACTTCTCGCGCCTACATTCCTCGTGAACCTCCAGAAGTATCCTTAAGCTTCGGCCATTATAGCACATGTAAACCCCCACAAACTTCTGTTTAAGTTGTGAAACAGTAATACCTGCAGCATCCTCCTCCAACTTGCCGCCAGTGAGATATTCAATGTTGAAGAGAACATCAGCATCTCTAAGGCCCAAAAGCTCATTGAGGGAGTGATCACACCGAAAACTTTCACGGTGTAAACAAGTCTTCACTCTATCCGGAGTAAAGGGAAAACAATCAAGTTCAGCTCCTCCAACCCCACGAAACATGTCGGGCGGGCCATGGTAAAGGACCTTCTGATATTTATCTGCAATCACAACTTTAAGCTTACCATTAAAACCGAGTGCTGAGCAAATCTTTTCACTCCGATGAGTTTCATGGAAAGGGACAGCAAGGCAGGAAAAGCCCGACAAGAAGTGTTCATAGATAGAGTAAGAACTAGTGAAACCCTCCCTCATCATTGGCACCACCACCATCACGAAATCATCTCTACTAGCCAGTTCATGAGAAGCTAACGCTGTGTGATAAATCGTGTGTGCATCTTCTGAAGACCATATCGAAGGCACAAACACGCAACATATCATAATGCTTTTACCATACATGTTTAGGGTAGCACTTTGTCTGACTTGTGTCGTGCTTGAGTTAGAGGCCAAATCACTGAAGATACTACTAGCACTGTCGTAGAAACTCAAGAGTTCACCATTTAGCAAATCTAATACTGTCAGGTGATAGTCTACCTGGACTTTGGGCAGATTTACGAAGGATTGGGAATAAAAGGGGCATTTGCTGTCAAAATACGAGCCGACCTTAAATTCCATACTCAGATCACGTCGGTAAGGGTTGTAAGTATCCCTGGCGCGGATGCAGGGGTCCAAGATTGAAAGTTTGATGTTTCGTTGTAGCCACTTGGATACACTTGGAAAGCATGTATTGTTCCCCCTTAACAGCTTCAGCGTCCTATCTACAAAACAAACTCGATTTAATTTAATGAAATCGAACATACTCTGTATGTATAATTGATTGATTGCTCCACGATTGATCTGGTTTAGATTAAGAACCTGATAAAGGTTTCATTGCCGTCGATGGCCAAGGGCGCTTTGAACCCGACTCCGATTCACCATTCGCACCGGACGGATCCTCGTGACTCCGTCGCCTCTTCCCGCACATTTTCCGTCGCCTCTTCCCGCACATTTTCCGTCGCCTCTTCACATCCATTTTCCGGCAATTCGTACCGGACGGATCCTCATCACTCCGTCGCCTTTTCGCGCTCATTGCAGTTCTGCACCCAAAACCCTATCGAGAAATGCTTGCGGAATTTCTTCTCGTGCAGATTTTGCAGAATTTCTTTTTCTTTTTTTAAATACTAGTATGTGCGGTATCCCACCCGCAGACTAGCAATGATCCCGTTTGTTGTTAGAACTGAGAAGAATAATGCTGAGTAGGTTAGTGGTTATATACGGAGTAAGTATCTATTTTAAAAAAAATGTTTCTGGCTCCTTATCATTCCAGTACATATATTTTAGTATTTAAAGATGGTGAAAATTTTTATTTATTTTTGTATACTTTTGACTAATTTACGAAATAAAATTTTATTGTCACTTGTTATTTTGTAGAATTTTTTATGTACCCTTTTTAAATATATAAATTTTATTTTTTATTTATATACCAATCTTTAAATAAAATAAATTGAAAAATTTAAAATTTTATTCTATATTGCATAAACTGTAGATGATTTATGGATGCGTACCCAGTTTAACCAAATTAAGAAGTTAAAATTCATACATAATTTTAAGAAGTGTTTAATTCATCTGCGCTAATTTTAAATACGGAGTATACAACTTCTTAGTCCAAAGTGTGATATTCCCATACATAATTTGAAAAAATTGATTCTGACTCGTGCCCATTTAATCGAGGAGTCCTCAAGTTTAATCCTATATTCGAATTCATTGGGTCTCGGTATCGGGTCTGGTATACTGATGATAAAAGTTGACGTCTTTTATTTTTTTATAATTGAAAAACAATTAGTGAAAATATTATGAACAAAAAAAGTTTAATTAGATACAAATAAAAATAAGACTAAAGTGCAACAAAAATCCACCTTTTCACCAAAAATATACAATAAAATTTTAATAGAAAACTACTCTTGGGTACCCCATATTTTGAGAAACTAACTTCCGAGTACCTCACATTTTCAAAATATACTCCGAGGTACCTTCTATTTTGAGAAACTAATTATCGGGTACCTCACATTTTTAAAATATACTCTGAGGTACCTTCTATTTTGAGAAACTAATTATCGGGTACCTCACATTTTTAAAATATACTCTGAGGTACCATCTATTTTGAGAAACAAACTATCGGGTACCTCACATTTTTAACATATACTACAGGATACCTCCAAATATACATTAATTTTACGCCATTAATTTTAAGAAATAAGGGTTTGAAATTTTAAAAAAACCAAGATCTTTTTAATTTAAAGAAAATTGAGTGCTCAATTTTAAAAGTATTGAGTACAATTTTCTTCCAATTAGAGCACTGGTAATACATGTAACGCCACTCGGCGTTATGCTACTTTTGAAGCCCAAGGGGCGTTAAACACCGCCCCCCTGGGGCTACATCCGGGCTTCATCTCTTCTACTTCAAATGTTTAACGGGCTTCAAACTCTTCCCCCCTCCCCACTCTACCTTTAAAAAAATATACACAAACCTAATTTTTTTTACTCTATAATTTTTTGTTTAATGTAATATTTTTTGTTCAAATTTTTTTTAGTAATGTAATTTTGTTTTGTTTTTTATTAAATTTAACAAACTTTTTTTATTGACTGTATTTTTTATTTGATGAATTATTTTAGTTTGCAATATTTTACTACAACTCAAATTTGAATGAAGATATTTTTAGTTGTTCGAATAATTAGTAATTTCTTTGTAGTGTTATTTTTTTATGGATGCGATATTTTTTAATGAATGAAATTTTTTTATGAATGTATTCTTCTATGAATGTAATATTTTTTAAATGAATGTAATTTTTTTAATGTACTAATCTCCTTTTGATTAATTTAAATAATAAATTAATTTAAATTTAATAATTTAAATTTAGAAGATATATATTTAAAAATGTAAAAAATGAAGGTTTGAAGCCCCAGTTTGAAGCCCCGGGGCTTCAAACCCATTTCCAGTGAATTTTGGGTGTAAGTTAAAGCTGACGTGGCAGAGAGAGAAAGTTTGAAGCCCCGGTTTGAAGCCCCAGGGCTTCATGACCATTACCAGTGCTCTTAAAAAGATCTTGGTTACTTTTAAAATTTCAAACCTCTATTTCTAAAAATTAATGTATATTTAGAGGTATCCTGGAGTATATTTAAAAAATGTGAGGTATCCTGGAGTACATTTTAAAAATGTGAGGTACTCGATAGTTAGTTTCTCAAAATAAAAGGTACTTCGGAGTATATTTTGAAAATGTGAGATACCCGGCAGTTAGTTTTCTCAAAATATGAGATACCCAAGAGCAGTTTTCTGAAAAATTTTAGATTCATAATCGATCTTCTTTACATATTCATTCATGTTACAAGAATGTTCTTTATAACATTACAACTAATTCGAAACTATTTATTTTATACTACTGCATAGCATAATCCAACGTGTACATGCCTTTATTGTGGTGAAATAAATACCAATAAATTTGGAAGCCACACAACTAGCGAAGAAAATGAGTAGTGAAGAAAAGAGGCAGAGTTTTGTAATATTTAATATTATGAACGTAATATATATTTAACCGGTATAAGTTTTAAATGGGTCGGGACTACTCGTTTTATACCCAACTCTTTATTTTTATAAAATAACGTGTACGAATTCAAGTATTGGGAAAAGGTATTTTTTATACTAGCCAGCTAAAATATTACTCCTTCTGTCCATCATAGATCTTCTCAGACACTATTCACAGGGTCAAATTTTACTCACTTTGTTTGCTTATTTTTACTAGTCATTTTGTAAAATAATGTAGTCTTGTCACCTCTAGTTTTGTAAAACTTTTTATGTAGTTTATTACTGTATAAATTTTATTTTAAAATTTTACTCCTATAATTAATTAAATTGAATTGAAAATAAAGTTGGTCAAAGCCTCGTAACGCGTAATGGGAAGATGTGGACTGAGGGAGTACTAAAATATTACTGGTATTATACGGGTTCCGGTAACCCATTCGTCCAGTCCTACTCAGCCATAATTTGCTTCGGTTCGCTCTCAGATCAGAACTCAAGACGATTCGAATAGAAGAGCGGAAGCCGTGAACCCTAATTCCCCATCATCTTCGTGAACTACTGAAAGGTGAACGACTGAGCGGAAGACCACCACACTCCACAAAGAAAGCTCGCTGTGAACGACTGAGCGGAAGACCACCACACTCCACAAAGAAAGCTCGTCCACCACCAGCAGAAAAGGTATCTTCGTGTATTGCTTAACTCGATAGTTGTAGTTCGTCTGGTTCGTCCACCACCACTGTTTCCCCGTCTTTGGTCTGTAATTCTGTGTATGTGTGCATATTGCTATTCGCCTATTCCCGTTTTTATGTGTTTCTTGATTGTTTACACCCCTACTGTAGAGACTCTACGCACTGAATTGGCTTACCTAAAGTTTGTTGTGCTAACTTTTTTGTGCTTAGTGTGCTAACTTTTTAAAAAAATTAGTTTGAAGCTCTGTTGAAATTTTATGTGCTACAGAAGCTCAAAAATCAAATTCACAGCTTCAACTAATTATGATTTTCTAACATTTTTAGATTCCGAAAAAATTCTTGAGATGGATTATGGAGTATTGGAGTACAATGTAGTATATTGTTTGTATGACATGTGACATCCCAAAAGCCACTGTTTTTCATTCGTTGGTTCTAAACAAGCTCCATTCTCCCATTTATTTAAACATACTTCCCGAGTACCCTTATTCAGTCTTGGTCCCGACCAGTCCGGTCCCTGTCCAGGCCTACCCTAAATTGGTCCAGTCTCTGGTCCACTACTCTGCTCTTATTTGGTCCCGATCCGGTCTGGATTTTGACTGGTGCGCCCTGTACTCACCACTCCGCCAGTCATGTTTGGGAGAAGAGGACAACCCTAAGTGATCTTTTATTTTGGGGAGCTCTCCCTGTGAGGTTTAAGCTTGAGTTACTTCTCAATTAATGTCTTGCTCTAGAGCAGATTTTCTCAAACAATGCTTCTTGATATTCTTACCTTGTGTTTAGTTTAAGAAATTTTAAAGGGTAAAAAAAGATAATGGTATGAAAACTTTTTTTTTTTGTTTTCTTAGAGAAGAAAAGAAGGGTCGAAGAAATAGAAAAGCTGGGAGAACTATTTTCGAAGGTTTTAAACCGCGCAAATGAATTTTTGGTTGTGAGCATGGTTATGTGATTTGTGATTTTTAAAACGGTTGTGTTTGTAATTTTGTACTGTCCCGGCGAATTTGTAAATTGTGATTTTTAAAATGAATTTTGTAAAAATTATGGTTTAAACCCGGACCATATTGGAATGATCTGGTCCTTTTCGGCTGAACCAGAATCATTCATGTTGTTTCCATTCCTCCCTTTGATAGTTTTATTTTTGAATATTATGACTCTATTACAATGTAGTATCTCTTTATACATACTTTCTCAACGTATTGAAGTACAAAGAGTTATCATACTAATGTGTTTTTGGTCATCCCTTTCATAGACTTTGATTTTCTGGTAGCGTTTGGAATGATAACTTGAAATGATTAAAAAATAAACAAATATGCTTAAATGAAAAAGTACAAAATTCATTGCTTCACTTTCATATGTAAATCTTGTAATTTTAAATATTTCACTTTAAGATTATAAATTATTTAATTTTTTAATATTTAGGTTTTCCCTGGTTTACTTCAAAAAATTTTTTGTTGTTTAAAAAGGGACTTAGAAACTCTATTAGCTTTTCACATATAATACGCGTATGATATACCCATATGTACTCCCGGATATGCATTTTCGTTTGTTTTATACGCCTGTTTCTTGCCCCAGGCGTATATCCGTATAAAAAACATCTCAAAGCTTAAAAAACCCTAAGTTTCTCTCTGCTTTGTTTTCTACTTTCACTGTTTTGCCTTGCTCCCTGCCGTAGAGAGCTGACTGTCCCACACTCCCATTAGCGTCTGAAGTAGTGACGCAGCCGGTGGTCTTAACGCCTCTTGCTGCCCGTCCGTCGGTCAATGTGGAGGAGGCAGACTCCGATTCCAATTCTATCCAGCATCCAGTAAGTATTTTGGCGACTTTGGTAGCTCTTCCGTCAAACTTCTGCAATCTTTTTCGGTCTGTAGCTATTATTCAACTTATTCCACCTCCATCGTCAGTATATTTAAGACTTCTAAACTCTAATTTCTAATTTTTAATTAAAACATTTTGTGTAGTATTTACTCTTAGCACTTTACTAA